GGCTGGCTCACAAAACTTGTTACCGGGTACTTGGATTTGTTAAATCTACCTACCACATTATTTTCCTGTATTTTTTTTAAATTTATTTTATTTTATGTGCATTGGTGTTTTGACTGCATGAATGTCGGTGTGAGGTGTCAGATCTTGGAGTTACGGACAGTCATGAGCTGCCAGGTGGGTACTGGGAATGGAACCCAGGTCCCCTGGAAGAGCAGTCAGTACTCCAGCCCCACCCCCTGTATTATCTTTTAAAGATTTGTTTCTATTTATGAGTGTCAGCATTCATGAAAGGTGCCTGAAGAGGCTAGAGGGTGTCCTCACCTGGATCTGGAGTTACAGGTGCTATCAGCCACCTGATGTGGGTGCTGGGAACGGAACTCCCATCCTCGTTAAGATCTTTAAATGTTCTTAACTGCTGAACCACCCTCTAGCCCTGTTCCCTGTATTCTAGAAGAAATTGGGGGCTGTGAGAGATGGCTCCGTGGGTAAAGGCACCTGTGGCCAAGCCTGAGGATGTGGGTTTGATTCCCAGGCTCCCCCATGGTGGAAGGAGGGAAATAACCCCTCCAAATAGTTCCCTGATGTGTGCACACATACACACAAAATAAACAATACAAAATTTAAAGAAGAAATGGGCCGGGGAGCACTTGCTGCAAAAGCATGAGAGCCCAAGTTCGGATTCCTGTAAACACCAGAGGCCGTGGTGGCCCAGTTGCAAGTCCAGCCTTGGAGCCCCACAGCCAGCTGGCTTCTCAGACTAGCTGTATTAGTGAGCTCTGGTTCGGATTGTGAGATCCCGACTCAGTTAACAAGGCGGAAGAGTAATAGGTGACCCCTGACATCAGCCTTAGGACTCCCATACACATGTGCATACAAATGTATCCATCTACATGCAAGTCCACACCATACATACCACACACACACACACACATACACACACGTACACACAAAGACACAAAAATTAAACAGAAATTGATAAAAAGAAATGGACTTATTTGTAGTTTTTTGAAACACAGGAACAGGAGGACACACAGCCAAGTCCCTCCTGTTTTGTCTGTAGCTGTCTTAAAATTTAACATTTTTACAATTTTTTAAAATATTTATTATGTATACAATATTCTGTGTGTATGCCTGCAGGCCAAAAAAGGGCACTATACCCCATTACAGATGGCTGTGAGCCACCATGTGGTTGCTGGGAATTGAACTCAGGACCTTTGGAAGAGTAGGCAATGCTCTTAACCTCTGAGCCATCTCTCCAGCCCCCATTTTTTTTTTTTTTTTGGTTTTTCGAGACAGGGTTTCTCTGTGGTTTTGGAGCCTGTCCTGGAACTAGCTCTTGTACACCAGGCTGGTCTCGAACTCACAAAGATCCGCCTGCCTCTGCCTCCCAAGTGCTGGGATTAAAGGCGTGCGCCACCACCGCCCGGCTTCCATTTTTACAATTTTTTAAAAATTACTTTTAGTATGTGAGGGCTCATGCCACAGCGAGTATGTGGAAGTCAGAGGGTGGCTTCGTGGAGTCAGTTCTCTCCTTCCACCTTTACTTGGGTCCCAGGATTTGAACCCAGGTCCTCAGACTTGTACAGCAAGAGCTTTTACCTGCTGAGCCATTGCCAGCCTCCATTTCACAATTTGTGAGAGGCTCACTAGACAAACACCAGACCACACATAAGCCCAGCTGTGAGGAGGGATAACCGTCCCTTCCTGGAGGAAGCGTACTTGGGCCCAAGACTGTTTCTAGTTTTTAAGTCTGGCATAGGAAAATGGGAGTCTGAACAGAGCCCCCATTTTCAAAGAGAAAGGAATTGGGTTTGTGGGATTCCTGCCCATTCTAGGCCGGCCAGATCTCTCTGTGACCCATTCCTGTGGTAGTTGGAGAGTGTATGCTTTCTGTATCTTTGGAAATTAGTGTGGGGATCCACAATCCTGGTAAACTTCCCCACAAAAACAGTAATTTTGAAAGCGATAGTTGATAGCTGACGGGAATGGGGTCAATGGTTCTCAGCAGAAGAAACTTTGCAGTGCCTGGCTCAGAGGTGACACAAAGTGACATGCTGATCTGAGCTCCTCCATTTTGAGTCCAGTCGCCATGACAGAAAGTCTCTGTATCTTGTTCGCAGAAGTAACCCCCATTTGCCGGCAAACCAGAAGGCACAAACTGCAAAGTAATAGATTTGGACCAAGAAATGACGATGTCGGTGACTATATCAGCTTACCGGAAATGCCAGGCACAGGAGCTTATCCAGATGTGACCCTCGGCTGGGCGGTAAAGAAGGAACACCGAGGACAGACGAAGGAGGAACACTGGCTATCACGTCAGGACGCTCCTGAGCCTCGGCCATGAGAGCCAGCACAACAGAGAATTCCATGTGCCTGTCCCTAGGCTGGAGTCCATTTTCTCCTGCCTGGAATGCACACCGATGCTAGACACACACACTGACGCTAGAAACTGCCTGCCACCTTACAACACAGCTGTGTGTAGCCTCGTGTGGTCCCCACGGAGCCCTTCCCCTGTGCTGTCAGTGACCACAGCCGTGGGAGCCACATTTCTGAAGCTGTGTCCTTGACTTTAGTGCAGCAAAGAATTTCAGGGTGAGTCAACCTGGAGCAAAGCACTGGCTTATTAGGACCAATATTAACACAAATTAGGCATCGGTATTAGGAGGGAGAGGCTTAGGAGAGTACATCCCCAGGTGTGGACAGAGGCTTCACAAGAGAGACTTGTTGTCTGTTTCCAGGAGGGGGGTCTCCCTATGTAGCTCTGGCTGTCATAGAACTCACTTTGTAGACCAGATTGGTCTCAAAATCACAGAGATCCACCTGCTTCTGCCTCCCGAGCGCTGGTGGGTTTAAAGGTGTGCTCCACTAGCCAGGAGAGACTTGTGTATTAAAGAGTCACAGGTATGATTTTGACGATATCTTCCCACTTTATATTACTTGAAAGTGTTTCTTCTTTAGTTAGATTGGTTCCCACTTTGTAGTTCAGAGATCTCAAACTTGCAGCAATCCTCCTGCTTCATCCTTTTGGGTGCTGGGCTTGAAGGCCTGGGCCACCTTGGTGCCTGACTCATTTAACTGTCAGGGAGCTGGTACCCCCTCTTTTTTTTTTTTTTTTAGTTTTTCGAGACAGGGTTTCTCTGTGGTTTTGGAGCCTGTCCTGGAACTAGCTCTTGTAGACCAGGCTGGTCTCGAACTCACAAAGATCTGCCTGCCTCTGCCTCCCGAGTGCTGGGATTAAAGGCGTGCGCCACCACCGCCCGGCCTGGTACCCCCTCTTAAGAAGACCGTGGGGCGGTTCCTGAGGAGAGCCAGACAGAATTGCAGATCAAAACATAGGCCAAAGGGGTAAAAGAATTCCTTATTGAGCCAGAGCAGAGTGGAGGCATGTCTATTGACTGTAAACAAAATCCGTGATCTCAGTTGTGAAATTCACTAATTGTAGGTTTACCGTTGGGAAAGCAGTCGATTAAACTCAAAGGTCAAACATGCTTCACCCTTAAGTGTTATTAACATCCTTATCTGAAATATTACAAAGGCGCCTTGGCCATCTTCACAGCAAAGTGTGTTGAAATCAGCTCTCAGCTGGGAGGCTTCAACCTCACCGCTGGGGAGGGGCTCTCCTCTTTCCCCTCCTTAAATTTTCCCTGGTTCTCTCCTACCTCTGTCAGCTCAGCCTCTGCCTTTCAGACAGGCTGGCTGAGTCATACAGCCTCCTCAACTCGTCTGAGGCCTTCTGTAACCTGTCCAGCGGTGTGGTGTGCTGAGTTAATACAGTGAGTAACGAAGATTGGGTCGGGGAGAAAGAACCTGTTTGCCCGCGGTCACAGCAGATACCACAGTTGAAGAGGCTTCTGGGTTTTTGGTACTCAGTCTGTTCTGATGTTATGGGAACGCACAATCTTGCCCATCTCTGTTACTGGCGATCTTGCCTCAGAGGCTTTTAAACGCAGGCAGAGGTACTTGTAGATTCTGTCCTACCTAGGACTAAGTCGTTTTCAAATGAACTCAAAAAGTAGGGCTTGGATCCAAGGGCCTGAGCAGGCATGAGGCCACACAGGTTCCAAGTGGTATACAGATGGCCCTGTCCTGATGCAGCACCTGAGCCTGCGCAGTCCTTCCTAGCCTGTTTTAGGATTAGCCACCTACTTGGTGGGGGGGAGGGAGGCTCCAGTGGATGCTGATCCTCAGCTCAGATGACTCACTATGGCCAGGAGGGAATCTGTGGTTATCAACAGGCTGTTTGGGGAAGGGGACCCTGGACTAGGTTGATAGAGGCTTCCTCCTGGGTCGGATGTGGATACAGTGTTGCCAGCTAGTTGCCAACTATAAATAAGTTAAAGGGCACAACACGTGGGAGTGAAAAGCGATCCTGGTGCTGCAACAGACACTGAGGACAGTCCCCCAGGATCCCTGGATGGGATCCTGACCCAGGGGTGGGGGTGGGGGAAGGGGCTGGGAATGAGGTTCAAGGAATTGGCCGGATACCCAGAAATATCCGGGCATCCCAGGAGAACCCAGAGGGAAGGTGGTCTAGCCTGAGTCATCAAATCGTCCCTGGGCTCAAGGGGACCATGGGAGCTGGGAAGGGAGTCTAGGCTGGGGCTGAGGAGGATTCTAGGGTTGGGCCCAGGAACACCCCGGTTACTCGGGGGTAGGGCACCCCAGAGGGCTCCAGGGAACCAAAGGGGTCCAGGTTTGGCCCAGGAACACCCCGAGGAACTTCAGGGTGATGAGGAGGTCCACGTTGGGCCCAGGAACACCGCGTACCCCAGAAGGACTCCAGGGGGCTGAAACGGGGTCCAAGCCTGGCCCAGGAACACCACGGTGGGACCCCGGTAGGACTCTAGGGGGCTGAAGGAGGTTCAGGCTGGGTCTAGGAACACCCCGGTGCTCCGGGAGTGTCGAGGCTGGTCCCGCGGGGCGCCCCTCCCGTCCCCTCCCCCGCCCGCTGTCCGTTGGCCACGGAGCCCGCCGCTGCGCCGCGGGCCCGACTCCTCCCCCGCGCGTCCGTCCGCGCGTGTCCCCGCGTCCCCGCGCCCGCCGTCCCGCGCCGGCGGAACTGTGGGATCGCCGCGCACAGGAAGTGGCGGCGGCGCCGAGGCGGAGGGCGGCGATGGGGGCCCGGGGCGGCGGGCGCCGCACTCGCTGAGGCCCGACGCAGGGCCGGGCCGGGCCCAGGCCGAGCGCAGCGGCCGCACGCGCCGACTCGAGGATCGCGACCAGCAGGTGGAGTGCAGGTGAGCCGCGCCGCGCCCCGCCGAGCCACCCGAGGTGGTCCCCGCCCGCGGTCGCCGGGCCCCGCCGCAGTGGCCGGCTGCGCTCCGCGGGGCGCGCGGCCTGGGAACGCGGCGCTGGAGGCTCCGGGTCCGCCCCGGCCCCTGTGCGGCCTGCGGGGCTCGCCGGTGCTGTGCGGGATGCGCGGCGGCCTGGGGAGGAGCGATCGGGAGAGATGGGGGTGCGAGGCCAGGCAGAGGGCCTGGGCGGCCTCCGGCCCCTCTCTGGGGTACCTTGCTCTGCATCTAGCTCCTCGGACTGGGGAGCCCCAAGCCTGATTTCGGGGCCTTGTGGGCTAGTTTCACTTTTTTGCTTGCTCAACACAGAGGGAGGGATGCAGGTGGGACGCCCTGCAGGAAGGTGCGAGGGCTCCTTTTGACTTTGGCGTTGAGACCAAAGGCCGACTGTGAATTTCCACGTTTCACTCAGGCGCTGGGGTCATTCAGTAACCAGAGCCTCTGGAGGAAAACACCTGTCCACGGTGGGCCACAAGGTACCTATGATAGGAGCATTGTGAGCGCTTGTGTGCAATATATGCAGGTTTCCTTTTTAACTTTGAGAGAAGTTTAGTGGCACAGGGAAATGGTTTTAGAAATGGCCTTCCAGACCTAACTTTTAAAGCAGTGTGGAAAGTCTTGTCTAAGAGAATACTTAAGAGATTGGGCTCTTTTCCCTGGGAAACTAGGAGGTTACTTGGATAGGCGACAGACTGGAATGACTCGCCCGAAGCCGAGATCTCTGATTCTGGGATTGGACATAGAATGCTGGTTGGGGGTGCTGGGTTTGTGTCTATTGGTACTGAGTGGGAGCAGCCCTTTCTGCTGCGATGGCATTTGTGAAATGGACTGTACCCCTTCCAAGAGGTCTCGGTGGGTTGTACACTTTGGTCTTATTTGATCACTTCCTTACTGTCCCCTCCCCTTACTAGATAAGCAGGACCCCTTCCCACTTTGGAAGTTAGCCTATAAAGCTGATTTCTAGTATCATGTCCTGAGCTCTGTGATTACATTGTTTCAGAAAACAGTTACTTGTGATGGCATTCCCGGCCTCTCTTTGGTCTTGGTGGTGTGTGCTCCTTGGAGTGGCTATGCTCAGCAGGTGGATGTCAGCTGAGTGACTGACCTAACTCAGCATAACCTGCTACAGGCCTTGCGAGTGGCCCCACATATGCCTGTCTCAGCATCACCACAGAAGGTCTAAGGAAGTTGCCTTCGGGATGGGTGGAAAGTGGGTTGAACAGTGTCTCCTAGGGAAGGAACGGGGAAGGGATGCTGGAGTTGAAGGGAGGTCTCTGTCCCACCCTAGGCTGCTCTCAGATAAAGGCCCAGCCTGGGAAGGACAGTGTCTGTATGCTACAGAGGACTGGGCAAACAGTGTACAGAAAGTAATGGGGTCTTTGGAAGAGCATCCACCACAGTGGTCCTTGTTTTGGTTCCCTTCTGGGGCTTGTAGGTTCCACCCTCTACTGACAGACTCTGAGCCACATTGGGGTTTGAGGAGCAGGACTAGCCGTTTGCCCTGGATTATGTCACAAATTACAACAGCCAGAACTTAAAGTAAGAGTGAAGAGACTCCCATCTTCTCAGACCGGGCGGGGGAGTAAGCTCGTAAATTCATCTCTGGCCCAGTTGGAGGGAGGTAGGGATGGGAAGGCGTGGTCATACCACGGTAGGGCATGGTATGATTGGGGGAAAGCAAAGGTGGAAACTTACTGTTGTTTCAGGGGTCAGATGGCATCATTGATCCAATCTCACTCTTGACAAGTTGACACTGGTTAACTGGCCCAGCTCCATTTACCCCTCCCAAGATGGAGCTGGTTCTGCCTGCCTGTTTGTCCCCTTCTCTGACTTGTGGCTTTGCTTAGGTCCTGCAGTGTGACCCAGTATCATATAGCTTGTCAAATCTAGCAGTGGCCCCTTGGCATCCCCCACTCCCTCTCTCGCCAAAGCAACAACCGCTTTCCCCCTACTCTCCTCTCCCTGATCCCACACCATTCTGCCTTCTCACATGCTCTTCCCCATTCTGGCCTTGTGTACACTACTGTGATTTCCCCCACCACAGACCGTGGCTAGTGAGGTTTGAAGAGCTTGTCTCTGGGTGTGACCGGCCACCTTCGGCCAGCGGCATATTGCTTACTTGTCTGATGTGAGCTCTGTAACTGCTTCATCTTCTCACTGAGAAGTTTCTGCTGCTGGGGGGTTGTGCTGAGTTTTGTAAACAGTTGCTCAGGGACTTCATGGGTTTTTTTCTTCAGCCAACTGAAGAACCTTGGGATCTTAAATGAATTTTTCCAAGTTGTAATGCGAGCAGCGGAATAGCACATCATTCCTAGAACACCCTGATAACTGCAGGGTTAACCTGAGCTTATTAACCTCAGAATGTTTTGTTTCAGGCAACTGCCACAGTGTTTCCTCTTTGAAGACTCTTGCTGCTTTGTTTAGAGTCCAACGTGTCCTGATCTTGTTTGTCAGGCAAAGTCCAGGAGTGCACACTTGTCACTGGGGCATAGCTGTGCTTCATTGTAAGGGATGGAGAGGCAGGCTGACGGGGCCCATGGTTCTTGCTGGGTCTGTGACTGGCGACTGTAGTAGGTGGTAGTGTGCCCAATGGCCACTTCTCTCTCACATATGGACAGAAGGGACATAGGCAGCATGTATTCTAGATGTCAGTGTGTGTGGAGGGCAGCACAGGCAGAAGTCCCCTCCTAGCTGGAGCGCATCATGTCACTTAATGCTAAAAGCTGAAGCTAGGTCTTTTTGATGGGAACAAGGTGCCAGCGGCCCAAAGGCCTGTCCCTCTTTGACCCAGGAGCCATGCATCATTAATGGGCAGCGTCTCCATTCCTTTTGGGAAGGTGGGGGTGAGATCCATAATAAATGACAGTGGCAGGGAGTAGAGTAGTGGCAGAATGCTGCCTGCTGCAGGGCGGACACAGCCTCGGCCCAACCTGGAGCTCGGGCTTTGGCCCTCTGTCTCCTGTCACTGCTGGCTGGCCAGCGGTGCTCTCCCTCTGCTGATTTGCTGACAGGAACAGTCTAGAAGTGTATGCTGATGTTACATTTGCCCCTGCTTTGAAAACAAATTCATTTAGTGTGTATGTGTACCTTTGCGTGGCCATGCGTGTGGATGGGTGCATGTGGGGTTCAGAGGTCAGCACTGGTGAGCGTCCTCACGTGATTTCCACTGGTTATTTTTCAGCAGGATTTATTTATTTTTATTTCATGTGGATGAGTGTTTTGCCTGCGTGTGTGTAATGACACCACATGCTTTTCCTGATGTCCTGGAACTGGAGTTAGAGATGGTTGCGAGCCACCATGTGGGTGCTGGGAATGGAACCAGGACCTCTAGAGGAGCAGGAGCAGCTAGCCCATGCTTGTTCTTAACCACTCAGCCACGTCTCCAGCCCCACCTTAGTTTTCAAGATTTATTTTTATTTTTCTCTCCCTTCCTTCCTCCCTCCTTACCCACCCTCCCCCCACGCATGCGTGTGTGCATGTGTGTGTGTGACATGCTCAGGTTCCCTTGGAGCTGGAGTTACAGGTGGTTGTGAGTCACCATGGCTGCTGGGACTGAATTTGGGTCCTCTGTAAGAGCAGCAAGCTCTCTTACTGTTGAGCTCCTCTCTAGCCTCGTCTTCTTATTTTTTTCAAACAGGGTCTCTCCCTGTACCTGATTGATTTGGCTAGGCTGGTCGGTCAGCAAGCACCAGGTACTCTCCTGTCCATCCCCCCCCCTCCCCAGAGCCAGGGTTCTAGGTCAGAGCTGCTGCACTGGGCTCCTTACATAGGTGCTAGGGATCTGTAGATCCTAATGCTGTGTGACCCCCCCCCAGCCCCTGCCTCTACTGTGTGTTACCCTTTGCTTATCTCTGTGCAGGAGAGAATGCAGCCACCATGGCTGTTTTAGATACATCTAGTTGAACTCTCAAAGCAACACTGAAGACGTGTATGAGAAAATGGAGTGGCAGCCCTGGGCAGGCAGCTTGGCTTGGCTCTGCATTTCAAACGCAGGTGCCATCGAATCTATAGGTGTTGTTCTGTTCGCCAGTCCACTTGATGCTCAGAACATCCCATATGTGAAAATTCACATTTCTTTCTTTTTTTAAAGATTTAATTATTTATGTTTTTATTATGTTTTATGTATCATGTTCTGCCTGCATGTATGTCTTCACGCCAGAAGAGGGCACCAGATCTCATTATAGATGGTTGTGAGCCTCCAAGTGGGTGCTGGGAATTGAACTCAGGACCTCTGGAAGAGCAGTCAGTGCTCTTAACCTCTGAGCCTTCTCTCTGGCCCCAAAATCCACATTTCTAAAACAAATTGAGCGATTAGCTTTACATACACATTGAGTGTCTCTGGCCGCTTGTAGAGGCTGTTCTGCTGTATTGGGCTTACAACCCCACGTGAAATTCAAGCCGCAGCTATGTGCTAGGAGTGGAACTGAATTATGCAGACAATATGCTCATTGGGTTTGTCTTCCACCTGGGTGTGAAAGACCGTGTGCTGATCCTTAACACACAGCGTGTGCCGACCATCAGTCAGGCTTCCTAGTGGTTGATATCTGTTTTAGGTCATTGTCCCTGTGTAATTGGAGTACTGGCTGAGTGAACCAGTGTGCTCTTTATCAGAGAGACTCAGAAGGAGCAGTCCCGGTACCTCGAAAAATGTGCTGAGGTAGCTTTTTGCCAGAGTAAGGCGGAAGTCAGGTAATTAAATGAAGACCACATGAGCTAGAGTTTGCACAGGAAATGGGTGCCACAATGGAGTTCAAAGTATAAGAAGTCTCCTGGGAAAAATGCTGTGGGTGGTAGCGTTAGGGTGAGCCCTCAGGCAGGTCTGTGGAAGGAGGCAGGCCTGAGGAGGGAGAATCCCAGTGCAGAGGAAGGCTCCGTAGCCCCGGGCAGCCTCAAACTAGGACTATGTACAGAGGGCCATGCCCCTACAGGCTCCCAGTGTCTGTCCC